GAATATGTCCACCATATTGGAATGGGCTAGGAAGTCAAGAGAAGTTGGTCAGTATCATTTATTGGAGAACACAGGAGAAGAAGGAACTACCTCTGATGTTAACGGAGCCACACCCACTAATAATGGAGTCCCACCCACTCTTGTTAACGGGTCTTATGATCATCTTTCCCCTCCCACTGGTTATGATAAAGTTATTAATAATAATGATGAGGATGTCCCTATTTATTAACTTATAATTAACTTTATTATTAATTAAAAGGACAAATAATGTAATTATTAATTAGTTTTTAGTTTGTGAGTGTCATTAACTTTTAACTTAGTGTATTTTTAAGTATCTAAAAATTAATTATTAAATCATACTAATCTTCACTATTGGTAGTTGTTTGTGTGGTTGTTCTTTTCTGTGTCTATCAATCAATGTCTTCTTTTGATCTTTAAGAGTATCCACCAGGAGAGGAGGAGCAAAGGTTCCAGTATAAATCCAAATATATTCAAGTGATGGATGGATGAAGATAGTTTCATATAAATGTTGTACTAGTTCTATCCAGTTAGGTTGAGATGACTCTTCATTAATATACCAGCACTCTATCCTCAGTAGTCTGATGGTTGTATGTGACTGTAACATGTTAGTAACAGCGGGTAGTACCTGTTCATAAAACAATGGTGTCATTATTTGTTTGTTCTCTTCCTCACTACGGTTACCATATGACTGATCTGGTTCGAATTTCACTTTAAGTTCTGTGAGATTGTTCTTTTGAGAGATGACATTAATAAAAGTTCTTGTCTCTTCATTCAGTGGAATGGATACACTCAACTGCTGTAGACTGGTGTTGTGTCTGAGACCAGTTGTTAGGAAGGACAGGAATGAACTGGGAATGGGAATGTCTTCAGGATGATGAAAAATAGAACCCTTGTAACTACTACTAATCTTAAGGTATTTCAGTGTTTGGTTTTGTGTTAGCATGTCTTGTAGACTAGTACCCATACTGCTGGTATATACTCTCTCCTCCTTTATCTCCACACTCAGAGCTTTAAGTGTAGTATTGGTTTGTAGAATAGTAAATAGTTCAATAGCACTCTCAGCTGTGACTAGCGGTAAAGTAAGTGTATGTGGACTGGGATGAGAGAGAAATAGAAGATGTGGTGGGTATGGATCATGTAGTATCAGACAGTGTAATCCTTTGATATGTTGAAGGAGTGATGATGACATCAGTTTACTCCATCCTCCTATCTCTAGAGCAGTCAGTGGTGTGTTCACCTCTACTATATTCAGTGATGATGGTAGGAGTTCATCAGGTATGTTCAGTGAAAGAGCTTGTAATGTGTTGTTGTCCTTTAGTAACTGCTCTATTACTCCATCAAGTAGAGGAGGAGGAAGATCACAGGAAGAAATAAGTACATGTCCATGTATTGTTAATGATGTTATTGTTTTATTTCTTGTTACTCCTCTAATGACGCTGATAATGGTACTTGTTATTTCATTCTCTTCATTATACTCAATCTCCATTTCTTGCAGTGTTGAATTCATTTCTATACATTTCTCAAGTTCAGTGCACTTGTCTGTGTAGTATGTATTGTCAACTGTTGGTATAGTAGGATAGTCCATTATTAAGTGCAGTATCTTCAATTGAGGAAGATTGAGGAACTGTAACAATACAAGACAGGGAACATATTGACCTGATAATAATATACAGTAGCACTCCTGAATATTGTATAGAAGTGATGATTGTAATATTTTTTGTATTAATTCATCAGTGGGTTCATATAACACTACCTCCAGTCCCTTACACTGGGTCTGTAGTGAGTTATTGGTTAGTCCAGCAGTGAAGACTGATAGTGACTGGTTAGATACATGCCCCAGGTGTAAGTGATTCCATGTTGTGTTGGAATTGTTTATACAATAACTGAGACACAACCAGTCAAACAATGATATTGATACTCTTCTATCCAGACACAGTGAGTGGTTGTTGATGGATTGTGCTAATATTTGACATAATGTTGTGTTCTGTGATTCATACAGGAGTTGAAGAAGAAGAATTGGAACATTGTCAAAATCATCAGAACTGATATGATCACTATTCAATAAATTAGGCATTATTCTAATCTCAGGATTCTGATAGAAGTAGGAGAGATGACAAGTCTTTAATCCAAACAATGGTTTCCTCTTACACTGTAAGTCAAGTTGTTGTTTATTAAAATACTGTTGATAGCTCTCATGTTCAAGGTGAGTTAGACCTGCTACAAACCTCAGACACATTCGAAAGTGATCATCATCAAAGTGATCCTTAAACACTTCCTCTCTCTTCTTCTCATGCTTAGCTATCCACCATGCAGCTAGAAATTCCTGTATACTCAAGTGAAGGAACTGATACTTTTCCTCATCATATTCTGTGAATCTTGTCATCAATCCAAGATAGTCTTCCTTGACTGCCTCACTCAGTGACTGTAGTTGATGTGAAGAGAATGTCATTGTTGTATTAGCCAGGTTAGTATAAGCTATTTGACACATCTCTTGTAAAGGTTTAGCTAATTGTGATGGTAATGAAGAAAGACTACCTAAAGTATGTGGGTTAATGTCATGTCTTTTAACATGTCTTCTGATAGTTTGTAGGATAAAGTTCTGATAGAGTTGAGTGAGTGTTGTTGGTAAGTGTCCTCCTTCCTTACAATAAACTAAGATGACCATGGAACAGACTAGTGGTACATAACACAATGATTGGACATCATTTCGTACTTTAAGATCATTAATGAGTTTTACTGCTAGTTGTGAGTCCTTACTTCTTTGAGTAGTTGTGAAAGGTTTTTTATTTTTATCATCTTCTCTTTTCTTATCAATGAGTTCTTGTGCTAGTTTTGTATCTTTTTGAAGTGTTTGTATAATTACTGTTGATATTTCTTCCTTAGAAAACCCAATGACCTGAACATGTCTACTGAGAGTATCCATTTTCAAAAGTGAAGAGGAGGCATAGCTACGAGAGGTAACAATTACTGAACATTGGTCTAACTTTTCTTTACAAATGATACTAGCAGCTAATGAAGACTGTCTGAGTTGTTCACTTAGTTCATCCCAACCATCAAACATTATCAGTAATCCTTCTCCATTCCTCTTCTCAAACCATTCAGCTACCATTGGAACTTCATAACGTTGACGCACAAACAGGTCAACTAGTGTAGTAGCTGTAGCTATCTTGCTATTCCTTAAAGGACAGTAAAGTACCAACTCATACTGTTGGTGTACAAGTGGTCCATTAGACCACATATTTAACAGTTTACGACAGAGTGTGGTTTTCCCAATACCAGGAGGACCGTCTATTACTACTCTGAGAGACAGAGAACTATTTGTGGGTTGGAGGACATCTTCAACACTTATCTCTTTGTTTCCAGTTAGTTTAACTGTTTTATCAACTTGTCCTCTTAGCTGATGCCAAGCTGATTCTGCTTGTGTGCTGGAGTCTTGTTTTTCTACTAGTGCTAGTCTTCCAAAGAAATTTTTTCCGATTCTTGGTGGCCAGTCTGTAGCAACAATAGGTTGGTGTTTGTAGTGTTGTCTCATATTGTCAGCATATCCTTGAACATCATCAGGTATTGAACTAATGGGTTTAGCTACATCAGACTGGCCTATTGATCAAGATACATAAAAACAATGTATACACATTAAATAATTTATTACCTCTTATATTAGTAACTGGTGTCTTGGATATATCATCAACTGGTGATGGTAGCACAGTATGTGAACTGACATTATCAGGTATAGACTGACCTAATGTATTGAGATATAATGACTATATTGATCACTGATAATGTACATACACACACTCACCTAACTGGTGTAATATAGAGGTAGCAATATCTGTTAGTGTACGATGTTGTTGGTTTATTAATACATGACATATATCAATAAGATACTGATCTGGATTAAGAGAGGATTCTGACTGTCGTTGCATCACTGACACTAATTGACTTGATTTAACAACATCAGAAGAAGCTGATGTTTGAATATTATTAACAGTTTCCATTGGTATTAGTCCTTTAGCATACAGTCCATTGGTTACTCTGTAAAGATTATTAGTAATAGCATCAACAAGAGTAGCATAATTCATCCTTAATACAGCACTAGGAGTGTTACCTGCAGTAGTGTATCAGTTAATGAGTGTTGTATTAAGTGTATGTTTACCTGATGTAGTACTAGTAACAGGTTTATTAATTACAGAAACTGATGATGATTTAGTAGATACTACTGGTACAGTATTACCTATTATACATTTAATATAATTATTAATATATAAATACATGACCATACCTCCTGTACACTGATGTACTTGTAACTGATCATTAATAGTTTGTAATAAATTGATCTCTTCTCTTTTAGTCAATGCATTGAGTACATCTCTCCATGTTGCTGTAGGATTCTTTTTCAGCCATTTAGAAAAGAGCGCTCCTTTACCTTGTTCAGCATCAATTGCAAAGTCTTCAATTGTTGTAATATCTTGTTGTGTTATTCCAGGTAAGAGAAGACCAAATGATTGCCAGTCAACAAGTGGTTCAAGCCATTGAAGTAACAGGAAAATATCAGGTCGATCATCAATCATAGGACCAGGATTGAGTTCAACATCTCCTGATAAGAGGAGGAGAAGTAAAACTAAATAGTAGATGAGGTCAGAGCTACTCCCAATAGTAGCTATAAACAAGACTAATGACTGGAGGCAGTGGATCATAACAGTAACAGTAATTATACCTATTGTAAATACACTGTATGATAATATTATATACTGTTAGTTTGTTTACCAGTTGGAGGAATAAAATTGAGCTTCATATATCTTAATAAAGATAAAAGAAGAGAAACAATAAGAGACAGAGCTGCTGGCAGTTTAGATGTCTTCTCTCCTGATGTAGTACTGCCTGACTTGCTGTCTACTGCAGCTTTGAATGAGTGAGAGTGGCGGCCATTAGCTGGTCTACTGGAGGCAGCTTGACAGTAGTTCCAGAGTCCAATACTTGCTCTCCATTGAGAGACATCAATCATCTTGTAATTATTAGTAAAGTATAATTAAAATGAACTATAATATACTTACCTCTATCACTGTTAATGATCAACTGTTGTAAGATAAAGAAATGAAAAGATACAGTCAAAAGTACAAGCCAGAGGTATAAAAAAATATACAAGCCAATTATGCTGCAGTTGCAAACAGGGCGTGGCTCATTAACCATAAGCTCCACCCACAAACCTAATTACTAGTAATTAGCCACACCTCCTGATTACTGTAAAGATTTGAGGCAACATAGTTTGTGCTAGTTTTTCTTTATAATTATTATCTTTTCAATCAGTTATTGATCTTATATTGTCTTTTAGGTACTTTATAGTCTGTGTATTAGTGTATCAGTACCGTATATACTCGTATTGAATCAGTTGGCATGGTAACTGATAAATAAAGGTGTGGTTTATAGTGAGTCTCATTCTATAGGTATTGGATGATGTCAGTACAGGGAGGATCACGTGATAGGTCACATGACTTGATATCAACTGCCATTCCTCGTGTGAACGGGTGGGAGTGTCCCTGGCACCCACTTCAAGTGAGAAACCACACCCACTAATGATTGCGTAATATTTATTAGCGTTTTAATGGAAAAGGTATCTTTTTTATTTAATGATACTTATCGTCAAATTTTTTAAACAAATTGCCAAAATTAAACGATTCTGAAATTTGCCAAAATTAAACTTA